GATTTATTAATGAGTAAAAAGTAATGACCATATTCAATTTTGTTTGTGTTTCTTGAAATATGGGTAAAAATTTTACAGCACTGTTAATGTGTTAATACATTGCCTGCTGAAAGCCTTTACAAATAGCCAAAATAAATGGAAAAAACTGTCAGTAGGCAATGATTTCTTTTTTTCAATTTGAAGAATAATTTTCAAATATAATCAGTTTCTAATTTTATTTCAGAATGTACAATGCATGCAGGTGAAGAGATGGTTTGTTATGTTTTTAATTGGTATATGTACTGGTTTAGTTGCATGTTTTATTAATATATGCATTGACCAGATTTCTGCTATTAAATATTCAACAGTTAGACATTGTATCCTTTATAAATAGACATAGTCTTCTCACCAATCAGCAATACTGAGATGTCTTGTAATCATGTTGTGTAATACACATAAATCATCATTTTCTAAATTATTCATTTTTCTTTACAAGGCATTAAATTCACAAAGAAGAAGTTTGTTCTCTTTTCTGGACTTGAGAAGTCAGTGTACTGAGTACCTTGAAAGTCTGAATCAAAACTTGCGATCCCATGTTTTTTCATAGTGTCTTTGTGGATTGCTGTCCTCCCGTTTGTTCATCTCATTGTTTCAGAAGTTCATGTACTGATGTTTTCCAAACTTCTTACGAAGTGGATAACTATGCATCAGATTGTTGTTGTTTTTTGATAAGATTCAAAATGGCTGACTGACTGCCATATTTTACCCCAAAATTTTACCGTACATGTATGTATGTAGAAACATTGTTTCCTAGTTTCTCTAAAGTAATTCTGTTGAAAATTAGAATATTGGTAGCACCTGTTAACTTACTGAAGCACATCCATCAATTTACAGTACCTGTTTGAAATTGGTCAACTGGTCATTTTTGCTTGAATACAGCAATCTCTGCGTACTGAGGTACTGTCAAAATTGCAACTTAATTTGGGTCATGATCCTATCTATACCAGATGGCTAACGAGCAGCTAATTTGTTTGCTTCGCTGTCTTCATAGATTACAGTGGAATTGTTCATATAGGTGATTATCTGTCGCCTACCATCCATTGACTATCAACAATTTTATTTTCAACTTCTTCTTGAAAACTTCCAGGCCAATTACTTTGATACTTAGTAGAAAGTACCTTTATGGTCTTCTGTCAGATTTGTTTATTTCATGATTTGATTATCCATGATGCTTGATATCTTCAAATCTCTAATTTTGATGAATATTTTTGATATTAATTAAAATAGGCTAGCTAGCCCGATTGTTTGATGTTTTATTATGTAGACACTTTGGATGTACATGTATCAAAGTCAAATTTGTTCATTTTGTGATGATACCTTCAATTTTCTAATTGTAATCTCTCTGTAAAAAATGCTATTTTCAACTGTCAAATGACAATGTATACTGCAAAGCTTATATCAGCTGACAAGTGGCTTATTCATTATATTTAATTCTTATTGAAAACTACGGTACCAGCTAAATCACTTTGATATGTGGTATTTAGGTAACTTTAGTGGACTTCTGTGAGATTTGTTCATTTTGTGATGATATCTTCAATTCTTTATTTTTAGCAAATATTTTAGGTAAAACTATTTGCTATACAAATTTACTGAACTATTTTTTTTTTTTTTAAATGTTTTTGTGCCAGGCGACAGTTCCGGATTTTGAATGTCATTGTCTGCTGACTTTTTTTTTTATGTGCAAATTGCAAGTGCAAGTGCTGACACATAGTGCATTTTGCCACAGAAGTCATTCCCTGTTTGGGACTACATGACAGGGCTGTGTGGCCATCTCCCTATCAAATGGCAATTTAGTGTGCTATCCTGGCGTCAACCAGGCTCGGTCAAAAATATGCACCTGCGGACCTTGACCAAGGTTCCCCCAAAGTCGCATTCATTAGTGAATGAATCTCGGCCAGTGGAATTGGCCTTCCCATTGAGTCTGTGGCACACTCACCCAGGGTAGGGGTCGACCCTTTTGATGTTCAGCCTAACGTAGGATTTGAACTTGGGTCTACCGATCATGAGTCTGATGCGACAACCACTATGCAACCAGTGAAATTTGCTAAACTATGCTATTTCGACTACAAGCTCAATTGTTTTGATATTTTGTATATTTGGAACAGATTTGTCACCAGATGATAACAATCAATTGAAATTGCCATAGCAACAATCATGTAGACTTTCATTATGTTGATATGGTAAATCATGGCAAATATCATGTATTTTATCATACAGAACATTTATTAATCAACTTTGTTTTGATAAAGACATTCTTTAAAGATAGCTATTTGAACCATGAGGTCGCTTCAAACTGACCCACAACGTTCTTCATCGTGTATCATTTGACTTAACACCTTACTCAGTTACAAAGATGTGTCGTGATGAGGCTTGTATGGAATATGCATTATTAGTATGGAATGGATTCAACGTAACATTTGTTACGATTGCCGCCTTCATGGTGGCATATATAGCTGTATGTATTACTCATATAATATTTATAAAAGAATTCTCATCTTATCTTATCTTATACCAATGTGAAAAGCATAGCTTGAAATTTAACTTGGTACAGAGACACTGTAATTTTAGATGTTTCTATTGAAAATTTAATATTATCGATATTAATATTTGTTTTATCACAGCCTGTTGCTGCTGGCAGTGGAATTCCTCAAATAAAATGTTATTTAAATGGTGTGAAAGTTCCTTTTGTTGTTAGAATTAAAACATTAATTACAAAAGTCTTTGGTGTTACATTATCTGTGGCAGGAGGGCTGTCCATTGGTAAGGTAAGTACCATGGCTCGGGATTAGAGTTGCCTATGCTAATGATATGCTAATAATTAGTTATATATGCTTATTATATGCATAATACGTATATAGTAGTTGTGGTTCGATGGTTGTGATAGTTGACAGTGACAGTGAAATTCCACATAACTTGTATTTTTGAAATTCCTCCCGAACTTGTACTTTTGAAGTTCCACATAAATTATATTTTTCTGATGTTTTTTCCAGGAAGGTCCCATGATTCATTCTGGTGCCGTCATAGCAGCTGGAGTATCACAAGGAAAATCAACAACTTTCAAAATAGATGGCAAGGTCAGAGTCAATTTTAAGACTTCATAACATTTATAATATGGATAAAATTATTGCTAATTATTAAAATTCCAAACACGCTTAAAAAAATTATTTTCCTCAAATCATTATAAAATGTATATTTTTAGTCCCCGTTCGGACATAGTCCGAAAACGGGGACTTGTGTTTTGCCCTGTGTGCGTCTGTGCGTCCGTGCGTCCGTGCATGCGTGCGTCCGTGATCACCTGTATCTCGAACATGCATGGACCAATTAAGTTCAAACTTCACTCATA